GGATCCAAATTTGCATCTCGAGAACCGAGATAAATGCATTCTTTTGTCTTTGTGTTGAGCTTCGCCCTTTTGTCTTTAGGAATATGCACGAAAGCTCGGCATCAAAATACCTTCAGGTGATCATAAGCCACTTTTTGACCTGTCCAGACTTGTGAAATTTCTTATTCAAGCGGCCGTGATGGTGAGAGATTGATCAAGTCAATAGCAGTTCTGACAGCTTCTCTCCTCAAAATAATTTGGAAAATTTGGCAATTGGATAGCATACTTCAAACCTTATCTTCAATAGTATGATTCATCATTTCAGCAAGTACATTCAATTGCAGAGTCCTGGGAGGCGTCTTCTCAAGTCGGATCGTGGCTGCTCTATAATATGCATCAAATAGGCCGCAATACTCACCATAGCATGAAATTCTTTGAAGGCTTGGAGAAACTGATCTTCAGATTTCAACAAATACACTCACACTTTGCAGGAATGATCATCAATAAAAGAAACAAAATATTGAGCTCCACCAAGGTATCTCTCCGACATGAAACATACGTCGGTATGGACGAGGTCAAGAATGTACCTACATTGTCTGGGTTGATCCAGTCTTACAAAAGAAACGCGATGCTGGTTTCAAACTAGGCAATGCATGTAACTCTCCAACACTTGGCCCTTCAACCCAGTCAATGATCTTTTCTTATTTAGAATTTGGAGCCATTTCTCGCTCATGTGGTCGAGGCGTTTGTGCCACAACTCCATGCTAGGTCTAACTCGGATAGAGTTAACTTCTCCACTATTTATCTTTTCTTGCATCACGTACAAGGAGGCCTCTTTCTTACCTCGGGAAACCACAAAAATTTCCTTTGCCAATTTCCATCTACTACTTCCGAAGTAGTTCACTAACTCGACATCGTCAAGCTTGCCTACTGAGATTAGGTTCAGTCGCATGTTAGGAGCATACCTTACATCCTTCAGTACAAGTCGACACCCGACATCCAAGGTCAAGGTCACATCACCGACACCAATAATTTTGCTGGTCACCTGATTTCCTATCTTCATGACTCCAAAATCACCACCTCTGTAAGAGGAGAAAAAGCTTTTGTGTGAAGTGACGTAAAAGGAGGCACTAGAGTCAATAATCCAGGTGCAATCATCATATGAAATATTAAAAAAAAAAATCCTGACCAAGGAGGATGATTTCAGCATCGGAGTTGCCAGCCACCGCAGTGGTGTTCTTATCTTCTTTCTGCTTCGAAATAATTTGATTCGATTTCACAGTGTCGTTCTTCTCATCCTTCTACAGATTCTTGCAGTCTAGCTTCTTATGTTCGGGCTTCCCACAATAGAAGCACTTCAACTCATATTTCGGTCTTGACCGGCCTATCTCGTTCATCACGACCCTAACTTTTACTTCGAGCCCGGGCATCAGACCTTCCTCTATTCTCAGCCAGTTGACCTTACACGTCGTTCTTTTCTACTTGACTCTTCATTCAGGAGGCTATCAATTACGGCATCCATCTTTAGCTTTCCATCAGGAGCCGAGTTGCTCAATGTCACTACCAGATTATCCCAGCTTTCTGGCAGCGAGCTTAGAGCAGCAACACCTGCATCTCATCATCTATCTTCATCTGGGATTTAGACAACTGATTCACAATCTTTGTAGGTGTTGAGGTGTTCAATCATGCTCATGTCGTATTTCTATTCGAGCTTCACAAGTTGGCGAACCAGGTGTGCTTTGTTCGTGGGAGTCTTTTTCTAAATCATGGACTCAAGCTTCGTCCATATATCGTACGCATTCGTGAACTCAGGCACGTGATCAAAGAGACTTTTGTCGATGTATTTTCTGATCATGGCCACTGTATTTTTGTTCAGAATTTCCCATTCTTTCTTAGTTTTTCCTTCAGGTCTCCTCAAGGACGATGGGCTTATATAAGTGTTTGTAGTGGATATGGTCTTCCATCATCAGTCTCAGTAAGTAAAGTTCTTCGCGGTCAGCTTGAACATGTAGCCGTCATGAGCTACACCACTGGTCTTCATCTCATCTTCTTCAGAACCTGTTGAACTCGAGCTTTGATACCACACGAACTCGGTCCCTCAATCTCGGCTAAGAAGCCTTTGCAGAAGTCAAACGTTGAGCTCGAAGCTCGGCTATCAGAGAGGTCAGCCTGAACTCACCAGGTTGGCCTATAAGCAGAAGAAACAGAAAATTGCGAAGGAGAGAGAGAAACTGAACACAAGCAGATTTTATCGTGGGAAAATCTTTCTCAATGTGAAGAAGTAAAAACCCACGGGACATTAGTCCTGAATTAAACTTTCACTATGTAAATAATGGATACAAGATATCAAATTTCACCAATATTGGTGGTACACTCAAACCTCACCTACAATGTGATATTCTCTCAAACTTTCTTATGGAGATCTAACACTCAAGCTTCTCCCTAGAGGTGCTCTCAAAATTGTCTAACCCTAGCCTCTCATATAACACAAGCTTATATAGGAGATAAGAAAATATTTTAGAATATCAAAAGTAGGGATTAGAGTTTCTTGAGCCCCAAGTATTTTGTGCCCCACTCACCAACATTAGGCATTGTGCAGCATTAAGGAGGAAAAGCCCAATACTTTGAGAGAGGTTTAAAATCTTAATTCTAAACCCACCTCGAATAAGATTACCTCCCGTGAAGTATACACGTGATTATAAAAAAAAAAAAAAAAAAAACTTCACAAATTGTATCCAATCGTGCAATTTCTATAACTATACTGAATATATTGTTGATACAATGATAAAGTTCAGTTTCATTTCTTCCTATTAGAACATCGATGTACGTACCAATAGTTCAGATATTATTTTTTTTCATTTATAAATTGATTGTAATTAACATATAGAAAGACTTTTACCAAGATGTCAAGGCTTAGAAACATTGAAACACCCGAGATTTTGTGAATAGATAATGGAGATGAACTTCATAGTCCTAGCCTAAAATGGCCTTCCAGTCTCAAGTAGCTGACGCCGTGTAAATAATAATACTTAAGCATGTAACTTTTACCTCAAATCGAAGTCCATTTCTTGTACGCAAGATGGTTATTTGCCTCCTTAGCTGATCTTTGGTCTCTTTAAGTTTTTCTCTAGAATTGTGATAATGAGGAACCTTGATCTTTACATTACCGTTAGCTAGCTGAAACAAATATGCACGCGGAGATAACAATATGAGACAATGAAAAAAAAATGGGGGCAAATTAAACTGGAAAAATATAAATTATGGATTATATTTTTTTCTCATTTTACATAAGAGAAATAATTTTTCTACATACACAAAAGAGGGGTGGATCCCACCACTCTTTTTTTTTCTCTCCTCTTACCTGTGCATTCCACTTGTAATTTTATTTGTATAACATAAGATAACTATTTTCTTACAACATAAGAAAAATATTTTCCATAAACTATAGCGAATGACAAACTAAGTCAAACAAAAAAATGAAATTATTTTTGTTACTTCAATGTGCTAAATAAAGGCGGTGCACAACAATTTTATTAGACAGCGGAAATCATTAGACTTGGTTTTTATGCTTGATATTGCCAATGATAAGCAAAATTTGAGTTGGAATTCGGGGGTGCCATAAGCAGGAGTAAGTATATGCCTAATTATGATCTGCATCAAGAGAAGATAGTCTTTCAAAAATACTAAAATACCAAAAATACCAGAAAACCAAAACAAAGAAGCCACATAAAAAAATAGTTATAAAGGAGTACATAATTATAATATTAAAATTTTATTTGTTCTCTCTTAATTTATTTTTTTTAGATTCTTGTTGGCTGACGTGAAAAGGGAAAAAAATAATTTTAATATTATAACTATGCTCTCTTCGAAATATATAGTTAAAAGAGGATGACTGAATAAAACCTTATATCTTGTCACTGCACACCAAACGAAATATATATATATATATATATATTTATTTATTTATTTATTTATTTACAATTTTTTTTGTTTACAAATTCTTATAAACTTAACTATACTAAAGGTAGTACATATACATAAACCAATTCATATACTACCCTTAGTATATAATTAAGTTTGTAAACAAAAAAATTATAAATATAACATCCACTCCAAGAAAAACGGTATATAACCACATCCGTTTAACCACATTTATACAAACATCGCAAAAGCTTTTTAAAATCTCAAATCTGCTACGTGATTAAGCAATGTAGCAAATCTTTCTCGAAATTGGGCTTAAGCATTGGACTTGGCCCGCGTTACTGTTGTTCCTTTCAGTCTTTCAGATGTTGCTTTTTCAATTTTCACTACACAGAATATTAAAGACCATTTGGTACTTTCTAACTCTATCCCTTTTTTCTCTCTCGAGCTTAACCTATCTCTCGCTTTTTTTTTTGATACATACCTATCTTTCGCTTTAACATTTACCTGCTAGACTCCACTTCCTCTTTTTATCTTATCAACTTTTTTGCATTATACCTGCTCGATGAAATGCATATGTGATTAAGAATGTTTTGAATGTAATATCTAAAAATTCTAAATGATTTCACTTTATATTTGTCATTTTATATTTTCCTCTACTTTAATTGTTTTTCTATTGCTTGAATTACACTATGTCCCCTTTTTTCTGGCCTGAAGTCACTATTGGTTCTTAAACAGAGTATCTATAGTTGAAGGGGCCTTGATTTCTGGAATTTTAGTGTTCCTAGAAGCTAGGCTCAACATGAATTTCTCACTGCCGGTTGATGAACTCTCTGTGTATGCCGAATAACCATGTTTTGATCCAAAACGACTTTGGCTATAGCGATTTCTATTGCGAGCTCTTGTGTTCTGTTAGGCAAAGATTATTTCAAATATAACCATACTTGCTGATGGTGACATTAATGAAGGTACAACTACTTGTGCACTTTTAATATTATTCCAGTTTGAAGTTTGTGGGTGACAGACTTCTATGTGTATTAAAGTTTTTTGTTCTCACGTAGCAGAGGTTGATATGCTTGAGAACGTGGAAATTGGAGAACAAAAGCGACGGGATGATGCTTATAAAGCTGCAAAAAAGAAAACTGGCATATATGATAATAAGTAAGATGATCTTTATTGTTGTCTATGTATTATTGAAATAATAGAAATAGAAATTAAAATGAAGTATGAATAATCTTATGAATCTTGCACTCTCAATTTCAGGTTCAATGATGACCCCTCTATGGATAAGAAAATACTTCCACAATATGATGATCCAGCTGCAGAAGAGGTTTGTTGCTTTTCTTCTTACATTCCAAACCACAAATAAAATATTTGTGCTGATACACATCATCTTCGCAACAAAAGTAAGAGCCTTTTTATGGTAAATTGCTAATTTATTTTGTCAGATTTTTTTTACAGATCCTGTTGGCAAGTAATAAAAATTATTTAGAAAGACTATTTATTTTTTGATATAGAAGATGACTTTTTACTTTTATTTTATTTCATTATCAAAAGTACTTTTAATCAAATTTTAATGATTATACGCTGACATAGAACTTGGATTTGAATACTTTAACATATTTGAATTTCACTACAAGAAATACGGCTATTAGGCACGAGGATGTTATCATAAGATTGAAAGGATATTATTATTTAATCCATATAAACATAAATGGATGAATCATGTGCCTAATTTGGTTATTAATGGAGCACTTTATTTCCAACTGGATCTTGAAGGTTAACTAATCAAATTTTACCATCTTGTAGGCACAAGACCTTGTTGAAATGCTGGTAGAGCTGTGGGATCTTATAGATACACCAATTGATATGTAAAAGGCCTTTAATCATATTACTAAAGTAATGTCAACAGTGAAGTGTGGGGGAATGTCATTGAGCCGCTAAAACTTTTATTGGCTTGAGCTTGCCTTTCAATTTTTCACTTGCAAGATTTGAGTAAGTTGCTTCATTATTTATAATTTTCAAGCTGAAGTTGAAGTTTTAAGCTTAAATGTTTTAAATGCTAGTAAGATCAAGGATGTAGTTTAAGAGAAATAATGATCTTGAAGAGATTTATAGAGGAGTTCACATGGATGTGGATAGTGAAGCTGCTAGACAGATTTGAACTAGCCTCATAGAATCTAGTACAACTATCTTTCTTTTTTCCTTGATAGAGCCTAAATTATTATTGAACCTTTTCTTTCTTTATTGAAATTTATTCTTGAATGCCTACAACCATATTTTTAAGTTACAGAAAAGTTGTACGGTACAAAAATTGGAGTTGTTGAGCCAACATCCGCATTCTTTTAATGCAGGGTATTATACAACAATGCCAGTCAATTTTTTTTATTTTTTTTAGTACATAAAATGCCAGTCATTTATGATCTAAAGATGTCTTGCTAGCCTTTGATTGTGATTTACAGAATGAAATTATATAATGATTGATACAAGAGAAGAAAACCAATTTATGTCTTGAATTTTTGTCCAATAGTTTCATTATATTCCAGAGTCTGAATGAAAGGCTAGGCGTACTATTTTTTTTTAGAGTTAATCTGACTCTAATTACATTATAATCATAATTTCCAAAGGTGACATCAACATGTGAAATGCACTTTTTCTTTTTCGCTGGCTAGATTTGATCTTTGATTATTTATTTTTTGGAACTAGTTGAAGTTTTATTTTTAATTTTTTTTTTTGTTACTCAAAGGATTTGAAAGAATTGGGCGTTTGGTGGCCAAAGTGGCTCTGCAGAGAAGCGATGTCGAACTTGTTGCAGTTAACAACCCCTTCATAACCATTGACTACATGGTACCAAACTTTTTTTAGTTTTATCTTTCTTATTTTTTTAGTTTTAGTTTAGGTTTTCATTCATGGTGTCAATTGAGCTGAAGAATCAAATCTCATGTTCTCTTTAATTGATAAATAAGAAGGATATCAAGGTAACAATAGTTTTCTTTTCTTTTAGTATTTGTTTCCATTTTTCATTTCCCAATTGCTTTTCGTGCTTTCTTTTTCTCCCTTTCTTTTTCAGTAATTTGGAGTATGATTCGATTGTACATTTTGATTTTGCTGCTATGTCATGAATTTGGGAGAGGAGTATTATGACCTGCACATTTTGATAAATATCCCCTACTATGTTATCATCAAATTTCACTTTCCACTGTTATGATATAATTTTTTTTTTTAAGAAAAAAAAAATTGTGCTTCACGTTACACTTTAAACTATTAGGATGTGCATAGTTTACACAAGATGATTTTTTAATATACTTTGTGATGCAGATGAAGCTCTCATTGTCTTTTCTACAACTAGCAAGCTCTCTTTGAGTATGCTAGTTCAAGGTATTGCAGTATCACTGTTTTCCCTTTCTTTTTTAATATACTTTCTATTTAGAAGAAAACTTTCTCTTAGACTAGAAGTTCAAGCTCTCATTGTTATGATATACTTTCTAATTTTTTTTGTGTGCAGGTGCGATAGAGTAGATAACACTTCAAAGGATTAGGATGTGCATAGTTACACAAGATGATTTTTTGTATCGACATTCCATGACAATTTTCTTAATATTTTGTTTGGGAATTATTTCCCTTATGCAATGTTAGTAGAAAATTTGATTAGGTTATATGAACTTAAACTTTGACGTCTTGTACAAATTCTTCAATGATATCAATAAAAAGACTTGCAATTTGTTTCACGTTTTATTGTATTCACTATTTTGCATTTAAACTATTTTTTAATATTTATTAAATCCAAAATTATTTTTTATTTTTTTTAAAAAAATTCCATATATTTAGCCACATTTATGGATGTGGTTTCAGATATAAGTAGCCACATTTTTTAACTGTGGCAAACTATACAATTTAACCACATTTATAAAGTGGTTAAATAAACAATAATTGTGGCTAAAAAAAGGCTACCACACTTAGTCAAAATGGGCAAAGTGAATAAAACAATGTGGCTAAATTATTGCAATACCACTTCTAGCCACATTTAATCAAAATGTGGTAAAGTTTGTTAGCCACATTTTTTATCAATGTTTGCCACATTTTTAAATGTGGCTAAATAACATTTTTTTTGTAGTGATCTCTCTCTCTCTCTCTCTCTCTCTATATATATATATATATATATATATATATATATATATATATATATATGGGTTTAGTGAGTGTACAGTGACTGACTGACTGGATACAAAATTCAGTCCAGTGCACTAAGTTCTCCCGCGAGAACACAGTTATAGTAAATATTATAACTATGTTCTCCTGGGAGATCACTGAGAAAATACCATTATAATATTTAGTGCACTAAGTTCTCGTGGGAGAACTTAGTGCACTTGACTGTCCAGTGACTGAATTTTCATAAGTAGACAACGGGTAATTGAGATTTCTCATATCCATTGGAAAGGCGATTGGATGACAATTCACATTCATGTTCAAGACCAGAACGTCCACCTTTTTGAAAAACCACCAGGGGAGCGTGTTCATTTTGTTGTAACGGATAGTTTGGGTATAACTTCACTTATGATGAGTTCTAGCTAGGATTAGTGATAAGTGTCAAAGATATTATGTTTTTAATATCAAAAATAGTTCAAATAATAATTAATATGATTAAAAATATAGTGTTAATTAATAAAATCTTAAAGAATATTAAAATGCCAACAACTGGATAAGATTCTAATCTTTTTTATTGTTTCAGGTTCAATGTAACAAATTACTAATATGATGGAAAAGGTAGTTGAAAAGGATAAGGATGAAGAAAAATAAAGAATTAATCAAAATTAATTCTTAGCGAGCCTAGTCCAAATTAAAAAGCTCATTTTTTTTATTTCTATAAAAATGCATGTTAGGGCTCATTCCATTCATTCAGAAGAGGAGGCGGAGGAGCACTTCTGGAGACGACTACAGAGGATAAGCAAGAAAAGAAAATCAAGAAATCAATGTGGGATTTCCCTGCTAAGTTTTATGAATCTTTATAGTTTCTTATCATCTTTTTATTCTTATTTTATGAATATGTTAGGCTAAATTTCTTTTGTAGTTAGGATTATGGATCTGATGAGAATATCAGTTGTGGTTAAATTTGTTTCTTTAATAAATTATTTCAGTTATTTGTGTTTTACCTTGTATGAATTTCTATATCCTTATATGAACTGATCACTCTTATAGGAATTTGAGGGTTAGGCTCGCAATAGACATATTGAGATTTTAATCCTGACAGGGTAATATACCAATTCTTGCATAATCTGAACATAGGCTTGCTTGAGTTGTAGACTTCATAATTCATTGTGTCTAATGCTTATTCTAAGAGAAATTACTAAGACATTAGGATTCTAATTAGAGTAAAGGGTTAAAGTCACTAAGACATTAGGATTTAACCAACTAATCTTTAGAAGATGATGTGTCTGAAATATCTTAGATAATTTAATATTGAAATTAAATTAAACAAGTCTAAGTGAATTTGAGGTGAAATAATTCCTAACTGTAGTTTTTTTTATATATTCTAAACTTAATTCTCAATTCTTGCGTTCTTGAATATTCTTGAGTGTTCTTGAATATTCTTGCAGTATTCTTGAAGTATTCTTGAATATTCTAAACAACTCTAGCTTTTGTCTAGTTTTTTTTCTTTCCTTATCAAAATATATATATATATATATATATATATATATATATATATATATATATATATATATATATATATATATGGGGAGGGATCTTTTGACTCTAGAGTAAGACTTACAAGTCTTACTCCTCATCTTAACCATTGATTTCCGTCCATCTAATGATTATTATTTATTTAAAATTAATAATTAATTAATTGGTGTAGATAACCGTTAGATGGACGGAAATCAATGGTTGAGATGAGGAGTAAGACTAGTAAATGTTACTCTAGAGTCAAAAGATCTCTCCCCTATATATATATATATATATATATATTGCACCCTGAAAAACTTGCTTATCTAGTATTTGTTAAGAAAAGGATACAAAGTTTACTATTGAAGATGTGTGTGTGTGTGTTTTGGGCACACAAGACTAAGGGCAGATTTTGAAATCTGTTAATTTTCAAAAAAAAACTAAAATAAAGATAAAGTCTATTCTGTAAAAAAAAAAATTTTAAAAATTATAATTATTATTTTTTAATCAAATTTAGAGAATATATCTAAATTATTTTTATTTTATATTTTAACTTTTAACTATTTAAAAAAAAACACACAAACAAACGCCCTAAATTTCCAAAAGCGATTTTCTTTACGTTTACCACCTTTTACCCAGGCAACAAAAGAATATTCATTCACAAATCGAAACCAAGTCACGATCACCGATCAAAAGAAAAAAAAGTTTCCCATTAACGTTTACCTCAGACACGGACGGACGAAACAACCCATCACCGAAAGAAACACCGCCATCCCCTGAGATCTCCATAAACCGCAATCGCCACAACTCAGCTGCGAGCTTCCTCGCCGAAACCTCACTTTTCCTGAAACCTTGCTTGAAATTCACAGGGGAGCTAGAACCCGAGTGTTTCCGGTGTGTCCTCCAGCGGCAGAGGGCGGCGAGGATGGCTGAATTTCGATGTTTCCGACGAGGAGGTAGGTGGTGGAGTTCATTGGGTCCGGAATGGTGTTGTTGGACGCCATGAACAGAAAATGAGAGCATCATAGAGATAGATAGAGGTGCAAAGAACAAGGAGAAAGAGAAAAGCGAAAGGCAGTGAGACGCGAAACAAGCAAAGGTTGGTTTGGAATTTAGGAATGTTTATGTCTGGACACTAGTGACTGACTCGTATTTATTTCATTTGCATGGATTTTATTTTTTATTTTATTTTTTCATTTTCTCCATTTTTTTTTATTTTTTTTATAGCAACTGACAAAGTGTGAGAG